CAGTTCTCTTCCTCAAACATTTAATATTCTATACATACATACATATTCTGAATTCTCTCTTTCAGCTCTATTTGCTCATATAAAAACCACTAAAATGTGCCCACATCTGAAATGGCACTTTTGCACTCAGGCCTGGCCAGCACACATGAAAAACACTGTTACTACACATGCACATCTAGGTTTTTCACCTTCTAGTGGTTACATGTAGCTAGATGTATGCTAGAAGTATCTAGATACCAAATTTCAAGTTGATACTCAAAGTGTGAAAGGCTGTAAAAATCAAGCAAGTTTCACTTCAAAGTTTGAAATGAACCCTAACCCAAGTTTGATGGACTAGTGTAATGTCAATACAAGTAAGACTCTCATGCATTGGACTAAGTTTTGTAACAGTGCTGAAAAGCTCTCAAAGTGCCAGTCCATACAGAATGATTCTTCATTACATTCAGAAATCATAAATCAAGTACGTTAGCTTGTGACACTTGCACAGACAAGCAAAAATGTTAGAGAGACCACCATACAGGATGAATGCAGCAGCTCCACTGTTAATGTTCCTGGATGGCAACCTTTGAGCTTAATCAGGGCCTTGTCATAAATGTTTGTGCCTGACACTGCAGAGTCCAAATATATCACTTGTTCAAGATGTGTCAGCTGTATAAATAGATTGATAACATTGCACTAAAACTTGAATGACATAAAGCCTTTATGTTCCACTATCCAAATGTGTGGTAGCACTGTGCTTGCACAGATCCAGCGCACTGCATATGTGGTGCCAGCTACTTTCAGCATTTGCAATTGCTCTCTTCATCACTGCCCTTTGCTACATCTCTGTGTCATATATTTTCTAATGCAATGCTCTTGTCTCACGAGAGAAATTTGGAACTTTTTTGTCACAGAAAATATGCAAAAACAGCTTGAAAAAATAAGTAAGGAAAGGTCGTATGTTTTCTCTCGGTATCCGGCAGCCCGGCAACTCGGCAATCTGGCAGCCAAGTTGATTGTCCACCAGGCCATTTACTAAAGCGCCCGGGGACGGCGGCACCCAGACGATATTCGGCTCGGCTGCCGGATTGCCGAGTTGCCGGACTGCCGGATACCGAGCGGAAAATATGACATTTTCTTACTTATTTTTTCAAGCTGTTTTTGCATATTTTTTGTAATAAAAAAGTTCCAAATTTCTCTCGTGTCGTTTCGCCCGCTCTTCATGAGAGATCTGATAGATGACTGCCGGGACTAACATTAACCTGACGAGGTTTCGTAAGCGGAGGGCTGTTTGACATGCAGAAGTGCGCAGATGCGCATTAATGCTGTTGTTGGGCAGCGAACATCCCGGTCAAAGAACATGGCAAATGACATCTTATTTCTATATCTAGTCAATCAGCATTTTACGATTGCATCCCTCTTGTTCTGATATCACATAACGCACTACAGATCCCTGCCACCGAGGATACATTCAATGGCAGAATGAACATTCCCGCCCGTTGCAAGCAGCGCACGGATGTTCTGCTGCGCATTCGTGAAGCCCATGTCCTAGTTGCTGTGTGAGACGGACGGATAAAGTCAGCGCTCGTGGTGCCCACGACAGGTTGTTGTTTCG